TATATATATATGGAAGATTGCCTTCACAAAACACTCTTTTATCACTGAGAAATTACTAGTACTTCTAGCTTTAAAACATACAAATTCTACAGGAGGCTCCTGTACAAACTCAAAAGAAGAAGAATAGTATTGAGCTATAACACTCCTGAACCCATAAAACACCAAGGGCTCCTATCTTAACCTTCAAGGTTAAAATATTTCCTTCATTATGCTGTGACAGAGAAAAGCCAGGTGACATGAAGTCCTTTTCTAGTGATTGTTCTTTCCTGATGACATGTCCAAAGTAAATGAGCCAATGTCAGGCCATCCTCACTTCTAGAGAGCATTCTTTTTCTTTTCTTTTTTTTTTTTTTAATTGTTGTGCTTTAAGTGAAAGTTTACAATTCAAGTTAGTTTCTCATACAAAAAAATTTATACATACATTGTTATGTGACCCTAGTTGCTCTCCCTATATTGTGACAGCACACTCCTCCTTTCCACCTCTGATTTCCTGTGTCCATTCAACCAGCTCCTGACCCTGTCTGCCTTCTCATCTCACCTCTGGACAGGAGCTGCCCATTTAGTCTCATGTATCTACTTGAGCTAAGAAGCACACTCTTCACAGGTATCATTTTATGCCCCATAGTCCAGTCTAATCTTTGTCTGAAGAGTTGGCTTCAGGAATGGTTTTAGTTTTGGGCTAACAGAGAGTCTAGGAGCCGTGTCTTCCAGGGTCTCTCCAGTCTCAATCAAACCATTGGGCCTGGTCTTTTTACTAGAATTTGAGTTCTGTACCCTACTTTTCTCCTGCTCCATCAGAGACTCTCTGTTGTGTTCCCTGTCAGGACGGTCATTGTGGTAGCTGGGCACCATCTAGTTCTAAAGAACATTCTGGCTGTATTTCTTCTAAGCCTGATTTGTTAGCTCTATGGTAGTCTATGGTATATTCAATATTCTTCATCAACACCGCAGTTCAAATGGATCAATTATTCTGTCTTTCTTTTTCATTCCTGTTGTCATTGCCATTGAGTCAATTCCGACTCACAGCAACCCTATAGGACAGAGTGGAACTGCCCTCTAGGGATTTCAAGGCTGTAATCGTTATGGAAGCTGACCACCACATTTTTCTCTCGCAGAGCAGCTGGTCGATTCAAACCACCGACCTTTCGATTAGCAGCAGAACGCTAAACACTGCGCCACCGGGGCTTCTTCTCTTTTTCATTAGGGTCCATTATTTCATCAAATTTTGATGGAATTGGTGACACCCACAATCAAGAACAAATGGACTATTTCAGGGCAATAGTTTCAGGGGTTCATCCAAAATTCATGGCTCCAGGAAGTCCAGAGTCCATGAGAATTCAAAATTCTGTTCTGCATTTTCCCTGTTTTGATCAGGATTCTTCTATGGAATCTTTGATCAAAATGTTTAGTAATGGTAGCTGGGCACCATCCAGGTCTTCTGGTCTCATGGCAAAGGAGGAAGTTGTTAATGGAGGCAAATAGGATATTCCATATCCTCTTCCTCTTCCTGGCTCTCCTTCTTCCTCTTGTTGTTCCCGGTGAATAGAGACCAATTGTTCTATCTTGGATGGCAGCTTGCAGTTTTTTAAGACCTCAGGCACTAGCATCAAATTAGGAGGTAGAACAGGAGCACTACACACATTATTAGGCCAATTAACTGGGATGTCCCATGAAACCACGACCCTAAATCTCCAAACCAGGAAACCAAATCCCATGAGGTTTTTGGATAATCTTTAAGCCTTAAACCAAAAATATTCCCTGAATTCTTCTTAAAACGAAACAATAGGTTAGTTTAAGTAGTAAAAAAGGTCTGCCTTGATCATTATGCCTTTAACAACCATCTATAAGGGATCAAAGTTACAACAGCAGCTGGAAAGAATAGATAGGAACCTTAGGGAGCAATGACTTTATGTTAATGGAGGAGGAACAACTCAGTAAAGGAGGGTGAGAATGCTTGTACAACTTGAAGGATGTACTCAATGTCACTGAATTGGACAGGTAGAAATGGTTGAATTGGTGTACATTTTGCTGTGTATATTCTCAACAGCAACAAAATAAATTTTAAAATAAATAGCCTAATAAATAATAATCTTCGTAGATATCACAGAATTAATTCCCTTTGCTGATCTCTAATAAGATCGCAACTAGCAGAGATTTTAAAGGAGATAAGACACTTCAGCAATCAACAGTACAATCACTGAGAGCACTTGTGTAAAGTACCCCAGGCCTAGGCAGTTGTGATGGTTTCATAGAAAACAGCTGTGGAGAGCAGAGAGCGTCACAGGAATCTAATATGTGCTCAGAGACAATGGCGCTTTCAAAGACAGCTTAAAGGAAAGATAATGAGCAGATTTCATCTCAAATCCTTAGCAGTGGACCTCTTCAGTGTGGGCTGGAAGCTAGCATACTCATACTTACTAGTTGGGGGGCTCTGCTGAAAGCCCCCATCTTGGGGATTCCTGTTAGGAAGACATGCAGAACCTGAAGAGAATGGGAGAAGTCTGCTATTAGGAGTAAATGAGAAAATGTTCATAAATACACATATTTATATCTCTCTCCCTCACCCCCCATCTATCAGTGATTCCTATAGATTCATAAAAGTTCCAGAATCCATTTCTTCATCTCCATGATTATCACCCGAGTCCTGCAATTCCCAAAGTGTGGGCTGCAGGCACCTGGGGTTCCCGAGACCCTTGCTGGGGATCCTCAGGATGAAAACTATTTCATAACAGTCCTACGCAGTTCTGTGCCCTTCTTACTCTGTTGATGGTGCAGAAGGACGAATGGATAAAATTGCTCGTGCCACAGCAGGAATCACGGCAGAATCTCTACTCACAGTCCTCTGCCCCTCACTACCACATATCTGCAGTTGAAAAGGCCATTTTCACTTAAGAGCAACCCTGGGGAAACAGTGAAACTGTTAATTTTATTAAATCTCGACCCTTTCAAGCATGCCTTTTCCATACTCTGGTTAACAAAATGAGAAGTACTCATAAAGCATATCTGCTGCATACCACGTTTGAAAAGCTTTTTCACCTGATACAATTTTTAATTGAAAGAACAATGACAGGCAAACTACAGGCATTCAGCCCTGGGTGTGTGGCCAATATCTTCTCCAAAATGGATGAAGGAAGCCTGTCACTTCAAGGAAAACAACCGACAGGATTTGTTGCAATGATAAACTTTGAGGTTTCCAGTGAAAATGGAATCTCTGTAAACTTGCATCAACCTCTGGGAACTTGGAACATTGCCAACACTTCCAGGCTTCTCTGGTGAGACCAGTGGTGACGCTGAGGAGTGAGATTTTTGATCCTGAGTCATGGAGCGTGTCAACATTTGGAAGCTCTGCGTGACTCAGTGAAACGATATTTTCTAAATGACCATGAGTGATGTTACAAACCATGCAGGGAAATTTGAATTCAAAGTGTCAGACAGACAAATAGATTTTAAGGTAACAAAGTATGCGTCTTAGTCATCTAGCGCTGCTACGACAGAAATACCACAAGTGGATGGTTTTAATGAAGAGAAGTTAATTTCCTCATAGTCAAAGCAGGCTAAAAGTCCAAATTCAGGGTGTCAGCTCCAGAAGAAGGCTTTTTCTCTCTGTTGGCCTTCTTCTCTTCAGTGTTCCCCCTACTAGGAGCTTCTCTGCACAGGGACCCCGGCCCAAAGGACGCGCTCCGCTCCTGGCACTGCTTTCTTGATGGTATGAGGTCCCCCTGTCTCACTGCTCACTTCTGTCTTTTATATCTCAAGAGATTGCCTCAGGACACAATCCAGTCTTGTAGATCAGGTCCTGCCTTACAAACACAACTGCCATCCATCCTCCCTCATTAACATCATAGAGGCAGGTTTACAACAGACAGGAAAATCACACAGTACCAGGAATCATGGCCCAGCCAAATTGATACACACATTTTGGCGGGGGGACATAATTCAAACCATGACAGTATGAAAAGTTGATTAATGTGGTTTTGGATTCCACGTTGCAACTAATCATGGAGAAACAATCACTTGCCAAGCTTTGGTATAGCATCAAAGAAAAATATCCACAATTATCTGGAAATTCTGTTGAGATAAACCCTTCGCTTTCCAACCACATATACATATGAATCTGGATTTTCTCCATATACTTCAACCAAAACAATATATCACAGCAGATTAAATGCAGAAGCAGATATGAGAACCCTTCTGTCTTTAATTAAGTTAGACTTTACGAAACTGTAAAATAACGCCGCTGTTCTCAATAATTGCTTCTGTTTCAAAAAACATAATTATTTTTCATAAAAATAGATATAACTTATGCTAACAAGCAACAGGTTTACCATTATTGGTTCTAACTTAATAAACAAGTGTTTAAAAATTTTCTTTTTAATATCTGAGAACTTAATGTCTAATACAGTAAATATAGATAGACATAGCTCATCTAAACAAAGGCTCTTTGAGATCCTCAATAAGTTTTAAGAGGGCAACCAAAACCCAAAAGTGCATTGCCATTGAGTTGATTCTGACTCATAGCAACCCTATAGGACAGAGTACAACTGCCCCATAGGGTTTCCAAGGAGCGGCTGGTGGATTCAAACTGCTGACCTTCTGATTAGCAGCTGAGCTCTCAACCACTGCGCCCCTTACTTTTCTTTAAGATAGTGGTGGAGATAAGCAGAGTGGGAGAGAGGGGTTAGACAGTCAGACAGGTGGGCTAAGGTCATGGTGGAGATTAGCAGACTAGGGAGGGAGGCCATACGGACAGACAGACAAGCTAAGATCGTGGTGGCTCCTAAGAGGGCGAAGGGATCCTAAAATCAAGTGTGAGAACCTCTGCCCTAGTATCAGCCAACATCCTCTCTCACCTGGAAGATAGAGAAGCTCTCTCTGTCTGCATCCTTGCCTTCTGCATTTGTTCTCTACATCTCATCCAAAAAAACAAAAAAAACTAGTTGCTATCGAGTCAATTCCGACTCATGGCAACCCCATGTGTATCAGAGTAGAACTGTGCTCCATAGGGTTTTCAGTGGCTGATTTCTCAGAAGTAGATCACCAGGCCTTTCTTCGGTGGTGCCTCTGGATGGACTCGAAACTCCAACCTTTTGGTTAGCAGGCACACGCGTTAATTGTTTGGGCCACCCGTGGACTACAGAGTGATCTATGATCATGTCATATCACCCCTCACTCTGTGAGCCGCCCAGGGCATCTAGAAGGCAATGCCCATCACAGTCTACATGGTCCACAGGCCTCACATCACAGGCCTGCATCCAGCCTCCTTGTCTCTCTACTCCACTCCAGCTTCCCTACGGTTCATTGTATGACTCAGACGCCCAAGCTCGGTCCCTCCAGGAGAAAGCCACCTTGGCTCCTCCCGCTCCTGAAACACTCTTTCCTCAGGTGGTCCCAGGACAGGCTTCTCTTTAGTGTTGGATCTCAACTTAAATGCCTCCTCCTTGGTGAGGCTCCCAGAAGGCCACCAGAGGTGAAGTAGCCCACCTGTCTGGCTGCATGACCCCCTCTCACACTCGGCTTACCTCCACTATTACTTTAGCCCACCTGTCAGACTGATTACCTCCACCACAACCTCAGCCCACCTGTCAGACTCATTACCTCCACGACTACCTTAGCCCACCTGTCAGACTGCTTACCTCCACCACAACCTTCGCCCACATATCAGACTGCTTACCTCCACCGCTACCTTAGCCCACCTGTCAGACTGATTACCTCCGCCGCTACCTTAGCCCACCTGTCAGACTGATTACTTCCACCACTATCTTAGCCCACCTGACTGATTACCTCCACCACAACCTTAGCCCACCTATCTGTCTGTATGGCCGCCTTTCCCACTCTGCTAATCTCCACCATGACCTTAGCCCCCTGTCTGACGGTCTAACCCGCCTCTCCCACTCTGCTTTTCTCCACCACTGTCTTAAAGGAAAGTAAGAGGTGTGAAATTGGAAGAGGTAATGGCATCTGGTAGTACAATTGTATATCTGGAAAATATATTACAAACAATAACACAATTCAGTAAAGTGGCTGGGGGGGAAATCTACAGAAATCAAGCCCTCCAGATACAAACAGCACTCATTCTAAATCATAATAGAAAAAAAAAAATCCATTTAAAATAGTAAAAAAAAAAAAAGAAAAAGTGAGCTGCTTCAGAATAAACCAGAAACCTGAGATAAATCTGTATGAGAGAATATTAATACATTGCTGAAGGCCCTCATACACCAGGTCTGGGTGTGACTGAGAAATGTCCATTTTTAACCAGCATCCCAGGCTCCCAGGTTAGGAAACCTCTGTTCTGATTTGCTGATATGAATATCCCTTCATCTCCTAGGTTCAGGGAGGTGCTGCAGAAACAACTTTCAACTTGGAATCTGAAGACGTGTTCAAGTCCAGATGGTGACTAGTCAGGTGACCTTGTATAAAAGACTAGATCTTTCTGACCCTTAGTTTCCCCATAGTAAACAGACATAATATTACATACCTGTGTAATTTACAGAGGAATGGGTTATATTATTACTAATAATATATTAGTAATCATAATTAGTTCACTCCATTATGTATTTTAAATATATTAATAATAAAGTTAATGCTTATTGAGAACTTAATATGTGCATTATCTCATTAAATTTCCATCACAACCCTAGGAGCTAAATACTATTATCTCCAATTTATAAGCTAAAAGAAGTTAAGTAGCTTTTTTTTTTTAATTTGCTTTAAAAAATTTTATAGTGGTAAAATTTAAATAACAAAACTTTTGCCATTTTCCTAATATTGAGTTTAGTGCTTCTGTTCTACCTCCCAGTTTGCTGTGTAGTGTCTGGGATGTTAAAAGCTTGCAAGCAGCCATCCAAGGTACAATAATTGATCTCTATCCTCCCGGAGCAACAGAGGAAGAAGAAGAGTGAGGAACAGGAGAAGGAAGTGGAATGTGTGGCTAATTGCCTCCGTGAACAGCTGCCCCCTATTGCCAGGAGACCAGAAGAACTAGATGGTGCTCGACTACCATTACTGAACATTTTGATCAAAGATTCTATAGAAGAATCTTGATCAAAAGGGTAAAATGCAGAACAGAATTTCAAATTCTCATGAAATCCAGACTTTCTGGAGCCATGGAGGCTGAAGGAACCTTTGAAACTATTGCCCTGAGATCATCTTTAAACCTTAAACCAAAAATATCCCCTGAAGACTTTTTAAAACCAAACTATAGGTTAGCTTAACTAGTAAAAAAAGTCTGCCTTCAGCAGTATGCTCTTTTGAGAACTATCTGTATGGAATCAAAGTGACAACAGCAACTGGAAAGATTAGATAGGAACCTTAGGGGGTAATGAGTTTATCTTAACAGAGGAGGAACAACTCAGAAAAGGAGGGTGAGAATGGTTGCACAACTCAAAGAACGTAATCAACGTCACTGAATTGTCCAGGTATAAACTGTTGAATTGGTGTATTTTTGCAGTGTATACTCTAAATAACAACAAAAGATAAAACTA